ACACATTTCAAGAATCTGAATTGCAATGGCGAAGTATATTGCACGTAGGGGATGACCCTTCAGGAGTCAGGGCAGAGTCTGATGACATTTTTCCAGATCCTCTTTCTATGCCAGACGAGTGATGTTGGTCAGAGCAACTTGAAACAAAGTACAGAACAGAGAACGTAAATCATGACGGACAGCCAGACAGACAGACGGATCGATTGACAAACAGATAGATGCGCACATGCGTCCGCATGCATAAAGCCATCTTCTGAGCCTGCCTGGATAGGCGTAGGCTTGCTGTAGTTGTTCTTTCGGATGCCATCCAGCAGCTCCTGCTGGAGAGCAAGTCTGACACAGGTAGAGAGCAAAGGCAAGAGATACTAATTAGTACATGACAAATGCACATGCATGTGTACGAAACGTGCCCAACTTTTCAAATCCATGCATGCGCGCACAGCAGGCTCAAATTTGCTAGATTGGAAATCTGCGAAGCACTGTACGACCGGCAACACTTCCACGACTACCACCATCATCACCACGACCAGAAATCACATGGTCAGCATCCAGCTGACTTCAGTCGAGCCTTCTGGCTCCAGCACCATCATGATCATCACATCATGATCGGCATCATTATCACTGCCATATACTGCCATCATCAGCACCCTTTTAACCATCACTGCATCTTGTCTTCACCCGCTGCCAGATTCTGTCGTCAGGGATGTTCTGCTTTCCAATACATCCATAAGTTTAGTTCAACCGTGAAACAACATACAGCAGCATTTAAAGGGCCTGATTGAAAGGGTTCACAGACTTGCACGGACACCGCAGACAAGGCAACCTTTTCCTGCTCGGACTTCGAGTGCCTTCAACGCAAAGCAGGTTCTTGCCTGCAACCTTTGTGTCGGATGTCACATGTGATGTCATACCCAGATTTACCTTTGGGTTCGCAAGTTGCATCCTGTTTGCGCGGCGGAATCATACAACCTTTGACCGGACACTCAGCCGAACTATTTGCCAACCTATGGGCGGCAGCAGCAGTATTTGTCGACAAACTTCCCGAATGCTGCGGCTAGGGACTCGCACGGCTCAAATCAGCGCTTCACATCAGGCCCTGCAGCTCGCCAACCCCCTCCCCACGCTGTGCTCATTAGTACGGCACGGGTCCTTTGGAAGTCTGAGATGGGCGAAGGAGACCACCGGCCGAGGACAGTTCGAGCCTGTGACGGTCAGGCGAAAGTCCTTCGCGGCCGCGCGGAAACTGCAAATCTGGAGAGTCTTTACAGAAGCGAAAGTTGCAAGCAGGCGGATGCCCGGGCTCTCGTAGATTTGCAGCAAGCACCGTCATTAACGCAGGATGGCGACTTGTGCTAACCTAATTAACTGGGTATTCAGCGAGATCAAGCACATCTCCATCCTTTCGGATGATTGCGACCTCCTCCTCGCCGAGGATTTCGATCCTCGACTTGCTGTTGCTTCGCGATGGGCCTGGAACCCCCCTCTGGCCCAAAACCTCCCCAAAACCCCACAATCCTACAACCATCAACACACCGACGTCTTCTGGGCATCTTTAGGTGGTGACAGCCTGTGGGCTGGCAGGTGTACACAACATCTTCGAACTTCGGCCACTCGCATCACCTCTACCAACGCATGGTCCGAAAGCCCGAACCCACAATCGAAGATCGTCAGTTTCAAGTTCTGCCTCGGGGCTCAGGGTGTGCCTTGTAAAAGGCGAAATCTACATCGGCGTACTCAATCTCCTGGCGACACCGATGGCATCTCAGCGTCAGGCAACAAGCAGACTTACACTCCGCTTGGACTCGATGTATCTCCTTGTGTGTCTATCTCCATTCAGGCACCCTTTGCCCGCGTTCGAAACTCATGCAGGGATAAGTCCTCGTGGTTCACGCGCGGAAGGGGCTCTATGGGCTTCCTCCGCCGATCCAGGTTCTCTTCGTCATCCTCGTCATCACCGCCACCCTCGTTGCCAGCATTCTGATCGCAGAGCTCGCAGTAGGAGGCCACATGATCATCTTCCCTGCGGCTTGCTAAGACGGCCAGCTTTGAACAAATGCTGTCGAAAATGACCATTCTCCAGCCCTTACGCTGAACCCCACACTGGCAAATCCAATTCGGGAGCCTATAGTTTCACACTGTAGCGGTGGATTCCTGCGAATAGCATGCTACGGCAGTGATCCCAAAATACAGCAAGTGCTTGGGGCCAACACACGATTGACTACATAGCAGAATAAAGCAACACCTGGATTGATATGATTTGGCCTGATTGAAGACGTATTTCCGCCTATGACCTATGTTAATATGAACTTAGCCGCCACCACTTACCGAGGGGAGGAGTTAAGATATGGAACCAGCTGCATCCCGCCCACCCTGGAAGACCGAGATGGCCATGAGGTGGCTGAGGGGGGCCCGCCGGGGCACGAGGAGGGTGAAGTTTGCACAGGGGCGCACCTTAATGGCCGGTTCGGTTTTCAGGACCTGTGGACATCTGCTCCAACTTCGGCACCGAGTTCAGCTTGACTTCCTGCTCCTTTCCGGGGCCTGCAACCCCACCAGCCGGGCTCGTCTCTGTCTGCGTTTGCGTGTGTGTGTCCTGTGGGTCGCGTCTGCGGGCAATGAAGAGGGCAAGCCGCGAGGCACGAATGGCTGCCACCAGAGGGGAAAGACCCGAACCGACGAAGTGTTGGCGCACACCTATGATAGTTGACAGGCCATCCCACGCAGCCTCACTTTCTACTGCCGAACTGAAGACAGCCGGGGGGGCTGCAGGCACGAGAAATCCGGGCTGTCCCTGACCTCCATGCACGATAGTCATGCCTTACAAAGGTGTGCTCAAGTGTAATACACTTCAAACTTGCCAGCTTTGAAGCTGTCGAACTTTCAAGCTTAAGACTCCTCGAACCTGTCAAACCTTCGAACTTCTAAGTGTTCAACCTCTCCAAATTTGAACTCGGCCGTGGCTAAAGTTTGGAGCTTGAGCTCGAAGCAGCGAGTCGAGCTCGAAAGTACGCAGGTTTGAGAGGCTAAATTAAAGCTTCACATTTTCCAGTTGGAAAAGTTCGGAATGTGACCAGGGTGTCCAAGCTATTTGAGTATGGCACCTATCAAACTCAACCTTCAAAAATCAAGCCTTTAAAACTTCAAACCTTCAAACTTTCAAACTCTTAAAATCTCGTAAACCGTCGAATTCCAACGACCTCGCTCGGGAACACAATTCGAAAGGAAACCTGTCTGCACACGTTGGCACATACATCTCTAGCAAAGCCCCCATCGTGAGCTGACTAGTCTTAGATGTAGATGTAGTGCCGAGCCACGGCATGTCTTCCCACGATGCCAGAGCCTTTCCAAGGAATAGGGCACATGGCCCTCGGCAAGTTATCTGGCCGTAGACTGTGGCCCAAAAGACATGATTGAAAGATCACGGACGCTGCACGCCTTCTTTGAGACGCTCGTGTCATCTCCAGTAGGCTCGGCAGCTTTGGCCGTGATGTCCTCCATGAATGCGTCTAAAGCGTCTGCCTAGCAGGGCCAGGGCCATTCACCATTCGTCAATGAAGCCTTTGCTCAGTTTGACTCTTTCTCTTCTCTTCGAGCCGAAAGTCGACTGAACAAAGCCAAGGCCTCAGCCTCGGCCGGTGGGGTGGAGACCTTCACCTCCTTGGCAGGAGGAGGCTCATCTCCGCCCTTGCCTTGCCAAGCTAGCCAAGGCTTCGCTTCAGAATGAACTACGAGTTCGGACTACAGTCACGATTGAATGCCACAGGTTGACGCCCTATAAATAAAGAGACTGACCGAGATAATGACCCTACGGCGTCCGTCGTTGTTCCACTCCAGGTGCAACCCTGCAATTACTCTTCGGTTCCTTTGGTCGTCAAGAGCCCACCTGACGGGCGTGCATCGAGAGGCAGCGTCAGCAGCTGCTTCTTCGGAGCGGGCTCCTCAGCCGCATGTCGGATGAGGCATGAGCCTGTTCTGCAAGCGCTTCGGGTGTTTGTCGTTACTCTCCTGCGAATTTTGCCGCTCACGGTCACCACCAGGGCGACAACTACAAGTAGAATCAGCAGCGAAAGAATAGAAAGAGATGAACAACCACCTCAAGGCTGTCATGGCGAGGACTATCGAGCGACGTATTGTTTTAGTGCACTATGTAGACCAGCAGCAGCAACGAAGTTGCTGCTACAACATTACTGTAACTTGCGAATCACTTTCGAGCGGCTACACAGCGTCACACAAAATTTCTATGGGCTGACAAGATACATCATCGTCAAAGGCTGCGAGGGTGCTTTGGCCACGACCTCGGCCCTTCCCGCCCTTGCCGGAAATCGCCATCTTGAAGCCAGACATGCTTCTGCACAGGGGGAGCCTTGCTCCAGCTTCAGGCGGCTAAGTACGACTACCTGAGATATCCGGGTGTCCAGGCTAACCCTATGGGCCACCTCCTGCAAGCTTCATGATGTTCCTGCTGGGATATCCGGCTCTTTCGCGCACGTGCCGCGTGGTTGAGCGATGTTGAACTCTGGCTATGTAATTTGTACTTGTGCTGGACCCAGCAGAATTGGGGCATGTTGGTCCTCAGTTAAATTTGCGCAGGGCTATCGCTTAAGCTGCATCACTGAAGGCTTTTCATTTGTGGTGTCTCATGGCTCTAACTTCTTGGATTTGAGCCAAGCCGGTTGCAGCAATGTCGCACACCTGAGCATGCCACTGCCACCTCAGGACTGTGAGACATGGCACCCTCTGCTCACAGCTGGCTCCAGGCAGTCGTTGCTGAGTTGTTGAACTCGCATGCACCGAGCTCAGGTGCAGTGACGCACCAAGTGTACTTCGGTATGGGATCTTCGCCTTCCTCTGTGTCCGCACCTCGCATTCCTCGGCCGTCGCATCAACTGCCAAGGCCTCGCCGGTCGGCCTCATCGCAGTCTGCCTGCCCGCGCCGTCGTGCTGCACCTCCTTTTGGGGGGGGGGGGGGGCAGAGCGCCGGTGGAGTTCCAGAGCAGCTGTCAAGCTGGATCTCGATCTTGACTGCTTCCGGCTGCGCTAGATGGCCTTGGTCAGTGAAACGGCCACGGAAACCCTTCGCAGTCGGAAACATGAACAAGGTCAGAACAGCAACAAACAAAAAACAACCGCCACTTGAAGCACTCACATTGCTAACTACGAGCAGTCAGCCCGTTCTCCAACCGATTCCCAATTTCGATTCCATCCAAGCATTTTGAGATTTTTCAACGGAGCCCACCTGGACCTCTCCCCTTCACTGCTTTCTCGAGGGCTTTCGTGTGGGGTGGGGTCTCCAAGTGAGGCAGCTACCCAATCCGACCCAGCCGAGGCCGACATCCCACTCGCAACGAGTTGCCCACCCCGGTTAATTACGTTATTTTTAAGAGTGTCGGCGTTGGGGGGCGCTAATCCGTCTGTTCCACTCGCTCCACTCGCTCCACTCGTTCCACTCGCTCCACTCGCTCCACTCGCTCCAATCGCTCCACTCGCTCCGCTCGCTCCACTCGCTCCACTCGCTCCACTCGCTCCACTCGTTACCTGTTCCACTGATTAGAGCGAGTGGGAGTGGAGCGAGTGGCGCGAGTGGCGCGGACGAGGTTTTGGGATGTTGAGAGTCGGGTCTGTAATCTAAGGGCCAGCTACTCCACTACTCCGACCGTTCCAATCGTGCCAGTCGTTCCACTAGAAGCGTGTTCCACTCGTGCCACTCGCTCCAGTCGCCCCTGTACGTTACCTGTTCCACTCTTTCCTTTAACTGAGCGAGTGGCGCGAGTGGAGCGAGTGGCGCGAGTGGAGCGAGTGGAGCGAGTGGCGCGAGTGGCGCGAGTGGCGCGAGTGGCGCGAGTGGCCCGAGTGGCCCGAGTGGCGCGCGGACGAGGTTTTGGGATGTTGAGAGTCGGGTCTTTATAATTTAAGGGCCAGCTACTCCACTATTCCGACCGTTCCAATCGTACCACATCGTTCCACTAGAAGCGTGTTCCACTCGTGCCACTCGCTCCAGTCGCACATTACCTGTTCCACTCTTTCCTTTAACTGAGCGAGTGGCGCGAGTGGAGCGAGTGGCGCGAGTGGCGTGAGTGGCCCGAGTGGCGCAAGTGGCGCGGACGAGGTTTTGGGATGTTGAGAGTCGGGTCTTTATAATTTAAGGGCCAGCTACTCCACTAGTACTCCACTACTCCGACCGTTCCAATCGTGCCAGTCGTTCCACTAGAAGCGTGTTCCACTCGTGCCACTCGCTCCAGTCGCCCCTGTACGTTACCTGTTCCACTCTTTCCTTTAACTGAGCGAGTGGCGCGAGTGGAGCGAGTGGCGCGAGTGGAGCGAGTGGAGCGAGTGGCGCGAGTGGCGCGAGTGGCCCGAGTGGCGCAAGTGGCGCGAGTGGCACGGACGAGGTTTTGGGATGTTGAGAGTCGGGTCTTTATAATTTAAGGGCCAGCTACTCCACTAGTACTCCACTACTCCGACCGTTCCAATCGTGCCAGTCGTTCCACTAGAAGCGTGTTCCACTCGTGCCACTCGCTCCAGTCGCCCCTGTACGTTACCTGTTCCACTCTTTCCTTGAACTGAGCGAGTGGCGCGAGTGGAGCGAGTGGCGCGAGTGGCGCGGACGACTTTAATTCTCCCCCCCGTGCGGCCGCAATGTTATTTTTTGCCTCCCGCCTGGCTAGGACGAACCTACGATGCAGGGTACACTCATGGCACGACAGTCACATACTATACACTGTCACTCAGCAGCATGTCAATCAACTTCGGATGTCATGCCCTTGCGTTGTCTTTGCAATGCACACAGAAGCGGCTCAATCGGCGAAGTATGTTATGTGGGTTCTGGGTTGGGGGGTAAATTTCCTTCGCCCGGTCTACGCCAGTATGCCTCAAAGCCGCGAGCTCGCAGGACTCCTCGGCCTTCTCTCTCGCTTAGTTTCCGGCCACGTGTCCGGGACCACGAAGCCTCCACAGAGGTCAGGAGTCTCATCGATCAGCACTCGGACGATCCCAGTGAAACCCCGTACATATAAGTTGTTGCTATCCCGCAGATATCACGCAGAAATATCATGCGATCAGGAGCAGGCAGCATGATCCAATGCCCGCTGAAAACTAGAAGTCGCAGATCCACGCCCACAGCCCCTGTTCCTCTGCCTTACTTGGTCTTCGCGATGCGGCTTGACTCACGCTAAATATGCAACGTGGCTTCAAGGCTCAGGTGTACAAGATCCGCGAAGCCTCGGCAGAGCTCCTCGAAGCTGCTTGCATCTGCAGACAACACAGCCTGAGTCGAATGGTCCAGGCATTGCAGGTTTGCGAAACCGACGATGCGAGCTTGCTTCCTCATCCTCCCTCCCTTGTCAGCCTCCCGCTGGCCAGACCTATGAACTCAAGTGCGTGCAGCAATCCTTTCTGCACAAAGTCGAGGTGCGACGTACTGGAAGCGATTCCATGCCTTCGCTTCTTTCAGAAGCTCACTGCGGGTCCGCAGCCGGCCGTGATCCACATGCCTCACTCCTGCAACAATGCGGATTTAGGCTGCGACATGCGCCAACAAGCTTCCGGAGTCGAAAACGGATTCCTGCTCAAGGGTGTACATTAGTTTAGCTCGCATGTCTTTTCCTTTTTAGGTGCTGTTGCAGGAGGCCACGTGGATCGTCTACATGGCAGGCAAGCTTCGCATTCATGTTAGTTAGTCTTTGCTTCCTGATTCGCCTCGTCGTCAATATCAAGGTTTTACTCGTCGTCTTTTGGCAGCACAATGTGTATCCTGATCGTGGCTATCATTACCACCAACTTTGCCGCGTCGGGGTCATCATCGTCATCATCAAGGCGAAATTGTCCCTGCACCAATCACTGCTTCCACGATGACCAGTCGCAGCACTTTCGCCGACGATAACAACAACATCCGCCGCAGCAGCAGCACCAGCACGAACATCACCATTTGTCCGCATGATCATCACTATCAGCAGCAGCAGCAGCAGCACGTCAAGTCCCAAAGACCCTTTCGTCTCCGCTCCGGAACCCCGTAGTGGCGCAAGCCAGTAGGGCTTCTTCAAGACCAGATACCGGAAAGCTGCCGGCAGAACCCGATCCTCAGTCACAGGTGAGGGTGATCGGGAAAAGCGGATAGTTGTGAAGCTTCTGCTGACTTCAACCCGAACAACTTGCAAACGCAGAGCTGCATGATGCCAATCACGTCTGTCCACGCACGGCAGTAGAACACGGGAAACTAAAAGAAACGCGTGACGAGCGAGTCAGCATCGCAATCCCACTGCGAGCGCGGCCCTAGCTCCACCCGTCGAGCCTCGTGAAGCCGAACTTCCAACGACTTCATCTCTTAAGACGCGGAGCGAGATCCCGAAAGCGGCACCACCATCCAACCTGTCGTGCCGTTAAAGCTTAAGCTTTCTCTGTGTCTGTGTGTGTGTGTACGTACGAGTGCATTCACGAGTTGATGTGCCGGTTTGCTGGGGCTGAAGCACGCCGATTAAAACGCTCGAATCGTCCGAACCCTGCCTGCAGCTGGCGAGACATGATAGGGAATCTCGTCGCAAGCAGCACTGCATGTCACAAGTATGAACGGAGGACACAAGCTAGCAGGGCGAAGCTTGCAAGTTCTCGCTCTTGCGGCAACTGTCAACGAAAGTGACATCACAAGAATAACACCGTCACCTCCGCCTACTCAGTATTCCAAGCCCTCCAGCAAATGCGCCTCAAGATTCGGACTGAGCATGGGGATCTGCGAATGCCAGCTTTCTTGACGTTCGCTGGATTCATCCTCGGAATTCGGAATCCGCACCCAGCCTTTTACTTCGACATTTCGAGAACACAGCCGATGAAACATACACGACGAACAAGACCTTCGTTCAATGTTCAACAGCTCCCAATGTGACTCTCGGCTGCAACCCTCGCTGAAGTCCCACAGACCCAAAACCCCGAAACCGCCCATGCAAAGGGGGGCACCCAAATTCAGCAATCCTACGCACCAAGTGGGTAGCTCACTCTTGAACTTGAGGCAGAGCCCTGAGGCAGCGGCCAATGGCTCTGTGACGGCCAAAAAGAGCCGACCATTCATCCAGAGGCGGCTCTGGGTCCTGGGCTCAGGGACTTCTGAACACTTACCACATGGCTTCGGGAATCCAGGACGCAGCGTGCGCTTGCGCCCTAACCGCGCTGCTCCCTCGGACACCTGTGCACATCACAACTGATCTTGCGAAATTGATATTATGACACGCCATCAGCAAATCGCATGCCACGCAAAAAACACTGAAGGAAGAGAAGCTTCTCCAAGTGTTGGGCACTCTGACCAGCAGCAGCCGTGCGAGCTGCAAGGAGATTTCGGATGTGGTCCGTCTGCCCTCAGGCCACGGTCACGGTATGCACCCGAGAGTAGCGCTTCCTGTGCTGGGCCAGGGCCCACACCCATCTTGAGTTGGTGTGAAAGCATGTGGCGCAACTTCCTTAGGTCCAGGCCTGCACTGATGTGTACATCTTCGGATGCCTGTGTCTCTTACTCTTCACACATTATACTTGCTCAGGCCCAGTAGCAACCCCAAGATATCTCGTGGGTTGGGTGCGATGAAGTCATCCCATGTTGCAACCTCAGCTTGCACAGCCTGACTCAACCCATCCAAACTTTGGAAGAAGAGGTCTGACCATGTCTGACCACTACGCCTCCAAATTAGCACGACTACGTCGGGGGTGCAGGCTTCAAGTGGGCGACTTCTGCCGTGCAAACTACTGCTACTGCATATCTTCGATATGCACAAATGCGAATGTTGCAGCTGCATCGATGATGACTTGATGTGTCTGACTCTTTACGGCGACTACTGGCTACAAGGACTGTCACCAGTGTACGCTCCAATCGCATTGCTAGATGGCTTCTTGAAGCAACACTCGAAAGTTTAGAGGAACACTCAGCAAAGAGCCTCTTCTTTTGATGCCAGGTAGAACTTGACCGCAACTTCGAGATGCAAAAACCGTGGTGAACTCAAATCCGGCTGCAGGATGTAGTCGACCTCGCCCTGCAAGTCAGATTCGTATCCCGGGGTCTGAGCACCTCTATGTAGAGATGGCTGTGGCGTGCCGTGTAGGTCTTCCAAAGAGGCCTCGCCCTACCGCCACACCATGTTTTCGTTCTGCATGACCCTATTACCCCAAATCGAGAGCGCGAGAGTGAGAGCCACCTCATTGTCTAATGTGTATAGAATCAGAAGCGAAGCATGGCTTTTGCATCCCGGCTTGGACATGAACCTTGCGTTTGATTTCTCGCTTCCCGGGAAAGCCGCAGCCTATCGTTCAAGACTAAATCTTGGGCTCGAAGCTGCATGCATTTCAGATGTGGATCTTGACATGATGAAAACAGGCACCTCAAAACCCAATGGAACCCCTCGAGTTCAGCAAGCCCCTGCGCTCAGGGTTGAAGGGGTGTGGATCTCCTGGATTGGCTCCCGTGTCTTCGTTGGCCGCAGTGGGACGGCCGAGAAGCCCGGAGCATAAGTGAACCTGGGGCAGGCACGGAATATGAAGAGGACAGCCTCGAAGTTGTGCTAAGAACTTCCAATCGACAAGCTCGCAACTGCAACCTCCGAGCCTCTAATCACAGCTAGGACTTCAAACCGTGCCGCTCGCTGAAACAAGCTATGAGACTCCAAGTCATCGGAAACTGGAACGTCCTCGAAGAATACCTTTCAGGAGGTAGACAGAGCATGCCGGTTCCTCAATGATGGAAACCCTTGCCGGAAACCTGGCACTCACAGTTTCAAGTCGTGGTTACAATCCGCAACTTCTTTCCGTTCATACGTGTTCCGCGTACAGACCAGCTGAGCACGATGCGATGCAACCGCCGTACGTAGTAAGAAGTACGCAATCACAGATGCCCACACACACACACACACTCACTGACGGCATTGATTGGTCCATGCCTGGGAAGAGGTTTTCCAATTGGTGGCGTATTCTAGGCGAAGAAGCCTCTCCTCATCTGACCGAACCATTCATTGGCTAACTTTTTCCTTGCCGTGGGTTGCTTGTGGGCAAGCCGCACAAGCCGAAACGGTTGAGCCGCTGCTCAGCGTAATTGAACAAACATCGACAAAGATGCGTCCCCGACATGAAAGCATGCAGAGATGCAATCACCAAGCAGCCTCTCCGTCCATCATGCCGCTGTCTGGAGGTGCTCTCGGGCTGTAGCAATGTACTGCTTTGTGAAGACCACCGTTGGAGGTCAGGGTAGCATGATCCTCGGACAAGCTCGCGTATCAAAGATCCGGGCTATCGCTCCAAGAGCTAACGTGCTCATGTCGCAAGTTTATTTTGACAAGTAGCTGGCAAAGGCAGAGCTCTGGACCGACCGCGCTTGACCTTGAAGCTGATTCGGAGCTGGCCACCTGCAGAGCATGGGGCCCATCTTCAACAGAGACGGAATGAAGGACCTGCCAGTCTGTAGGACACAACTATATCACTATGTTTCGAACTTTCTGTTTGCTACTGCTCTCAGTCTCAGCTTCGAGTCTGCTTGTGCCAGAAGCTGAAGATGCTATAATACGGCAGCCGGACGCCTTTGGGGGGTGTGGAAACCGGTGCGGAAAAAACTGTACTCTGCATGCACCTTAGTCGACCCAATCATGTAGGAAGCATATCAAGCAGAGTACCAGCCACGTGCATGCCTTGAAGAAAAGCTGCTTCGTGGACGCTGCAGAAGAAATCCACATCCCACGAGCTTTTCAGCGGAGGCTTGAAGCGCCTCGCTCAGAGCACGGCGCAAGTGCACGCATCTCTTGGTATTCTCTTGTGTGGGACTCCGCCTCACGATGGCACCGGGTGCGCCCGCTGTGCTCTCATTGGACCGCTTCTTCTCCTTCACTGGCACTGCGAGTGAATGATAAACGTGGGCAAGTTGAATTCCGGCCTTGGTTCCCTTTCTGGAAAGGGACTCGACCGATGCCCTGTCCGGCTTTTTTACGTGGTCCGTGGTCGTCTAGATTCTGGCTCCAGAAACCGAACTAAAGGAAGCTGCCCGTGCTTTGGGGGGAAACACGCCAAGCCACCTACATTTCGAGTTTGAAGGGCAGGTCCTTCGGTATGGGCTCACTGTACAGTGCCACAGGCACTTTGGCCAACTCCGCAAAGGCAAAGTGCATAAGAGACTCGTAGTAGTGGCCTCTGCAGGGATTTTTCCCTAATAGCAAGGGCATGGATATTCCCCAAGGTTGGCAATGCGGGGTTGCATTGGATAAACGCTTGGTCGGCGGGCTTCACGACAATCTAGCTGTGTGGACATTGTAAAGCAGGGAGGGAGAGGGAGAGAGAGAGAGAGAGAGAGAGAGAGAGAAAGAAAGAGAGACAGAGAGAGAGAGGGCGAGAGAGAGGGAGAGAGCGGAAGAGAGCAGCCAGCTCCGTCCCTAATGCACTGCGAAATGAGTTCGAAACTTGAGTCGACCTTTAGCCAGCATGCACCGAACGACATGTCCCATGCGCGAGGATAGCTAGTCCTTGTACATGCTCAAATCAACAAGACGTGTTTCTGAAAGGGGGGGAAGGCGAACTCGGGCATCAGAAGGGCGATGTTACAGCCCATGTCTGATGTTCAACATACTGCGGGGCGGCACAGAACATGACGTGCTGTTATATCTTGACCTTATAATGATGCCTGCAGCCAGCTGCGAAACCCACGTCTGAAAGACCAAATGCAAGACGCCGCTGACAAGGCTCATTTTTCCGTTCCCAGTCGCCGACGAAGCGCGTCCCAGATCGGCCATGGGAGCCGAGCCAGGCGATGAGCGGCTCGGGATCCTCATCCAGAGCCAGCCTTGATTTGGCCCCCGAGCTGCTGATATTCGGAGTGCTACCAGTATGTCTTAAGAAGACAGCCATCCATATCGGCCATTGTTTCGCAATCGCAACAATCACCCTGGTAGGGCAATGTCGCGACAACACCGAGAACAACTTTCCATTATGTCAGGTCCACAAACAAGAGCGTCCAGTTTCCGGCCCAGCGGGGTGCACCAGGGATTTGCAGCTCTAAGTCTCTAAGTCTAAGGAAGGCTTAGGATAATTTGCTTCCGGGATATACATGCGGACGATATTGGTCTAAAGTTGTTTTAGATTTTAGATCCTCCCAACTCGGACCGACTCTGCGCAGGTTCGAACGTCACAGAGAGAGGCCGGCAGGAAGGCATCGCCTCGTCGGCTTACCGCAAAAGTGGAGGCTTGCCGGTTAACGATGAGCCGATGAGCGAAGATTTACATGTCGTTTGCCTCGAATGCATCCTGGATGCAGGTCCTGCGACACGTCTCCAAGCAGATCCTGATGACATCCGAGACAATAGAGCTTGCAGTACTGCATGCTGGTAAGAGTGAAAAGCTGGTTTGGCACTACGATTCAGGGTTTGGGGCTTGCCGACTTTGCTTGCGCTATCTCCGGCAGCCTCTACCGCACACGCGGAAAACCAGCAAATGGCTTGCCCTCTGCATACACTGTAACTGCCCGAAACGATTGTCTGTTAGCAGTCAGCAGATCCTCCATCGCGCCATCAGTGAACACTTCACGGCCGCACTCTACCTGGGAACCGGAGTTGGTATCGCCATGTTCCACACTGGCTACCGCTAACATACTGAAGACCTGCGGCCTGAACATATGAGACTTTATATGGTTCCGAAACTTGTCCTCGAATTGGAAACGCTTGGTCTTCACACCTACGCATGTCTTGAAGTTCCCGCAGGCGGCAGCGCTGCGAAAAGATTGAGCTGAAGACTGTGCACACATATGGGCGACACTCTTCACAAGCTGAATCATTATCAGCCGCAGTAAAGGTAAGCTGACATAACACAGTCAAGAGTTGCCTAACGTGTAAGCGAACACCAGTATTTTTTTCAACTGGCCTTCGGACATTGAAGTGTTCTTCTGCTTCCAGGCTGCGTCGGCATCGCAACAAAGACCTGGTGCCAACACTGACCACACGACATCACCTGAGCCAATGTTCGCGAAGCATAACGGCTTACAGGTCCATCTGATGGGCGAAGGGAGGTATGGATGCTCGGGTTTATGTTACTACTGGTAGAAGCTACAAGTACTTCGGATCGAAACTGCACGAGTTCGGGCAGTCGTGTTTTCCGACTTTCCGGCTGCTCGCCGAAAGCCTCCCTGCAACAGATATCACGTGGTGATTTTTCCCGCTCTATCGCCGCACATCGAGACAGGACCTCGCTGCAAGGCGACCCTTGGAACTCCGCGCACTGCGGCTGCACCGCTGATGACCTGCATGGCCAGGCAGCGCAGCAGCGCAACAGACTGATGGAGCCGGCATATCGGTTCCCAGAACTTCTGGTTCCGTGCCAGGCTTGGCGCTCGAATTTCCACAAGCCCAACATGGGACTTCCATGCTCGCCTCACCCGTCCGCACTCGAGCTGACAGTCGTCTTCCACTGGGTGGTTTGTGCTTCTGCGGGATTTGCCCATCACAGCCTTGTTTCAGACTGCGGCAAGCCTGCATGGACGTACATGCCGGTGCGGGCGACTTCCAGTGGTGATGGATCGCTATGCCGTTCAAGAGAAGCAGCTCCTCCATCTGTCCTTCCAGAACCGAATCCTGAGGTGGGCCAAGCTTACCCGCATGAACTGCAGTTGAACTACAGGAAGGTAGCAACGGCAATATCAATCAAGCAGATTCAAGCAGCACTCAGACACTTCGACACAGCATCGACAGACAAGCCATAAGCGTACGGCACATTGTGACACCCAGGCGCGTGAGCTTCTCCAGGTGCTCGGCAGGATCTGTCAGCCTGAGAACGGGACATATCACAAACCAACGTGACAGAGGCGAACTCAAGGCTGGAAAAGTCAACTGCTGCCAGGTGCACCTAACACTGCGTCAAAGTATGTTGCCGCTCTGCACAAAGAGCCTGGCCTGGCAAGGACTTCAAACAGCAGCTCGGGTGAGAGATCTTCTGGTGCCGGCATGTAGCTGGGACCACCTGCAGATCTGCAAAAGCATTTAACACACGACTGCTGTCTGGCATGTGGAGCAGATCTGGTTCCTTGCATTCCGGCATGTCCACACATCAAAACCAAGAAGAAATTTGAAAGCAAAGACTCCGATGACTCTACTACGAGTACGTCTACTGCTATAGCCAGTGTCGCCTTCAGCATGAGCAGCTTCATATAAGCCCCAGAGGCACTGACATTGTATAAAATAGCTGTGCAGTGTATGTAACTATCATACGATGCTACACAGGATTGAGCCTGAGCTCTGTGCATACACATAAGTAGACACACACATGTATAGATATATATATATATATATATATGGTCACCCCCCCCCCATGACAGACCATCCCCTTCAAAACATCGCTCCCACCGGCGTGTTCGTGCTTTTTCCGGGGTATCGAGTTTGAGCCCTCCGAACGTATCCCTGGAACCACCAAAAGACTGAGACCAGAAAGCAGCACGATAAGGCGCGCGGGTGTCCTACCAAGAAAGGAATTACAGAGCACGCGTGTATGGATGAGGGTTGTGCTGATACACTACATAGTAAGCACTACACAGTAATCTTACTTGAGTCATATATAGAGCAGATTCCAGCATTTCCAAAATTTCCAAAATTCTCTCCCCTGACTTTCCGGATTTCCAAAATTTCCAAAAAGTCCGCCCTTATGTTTTGGAAACATCCTGTCGACTAGGTCGGGAAATTTTGGAAATTTTGGAAATTTTAGAAATTTTGGAAATTTGGAAAATTTGGAAATTTTGGAAATTTTGGAAATCCGGAAAGTTAGGGGAGAGAATTTTGGAAATATTGGAAATGCTGGAATCTGCTCTATATATGACTAAAGTAAGATTACTGCGTAGTGCTTTTAACATTAAGGTTGACATTTATATTAATGCTTTTATTACGAATATGCACATTACTAATACTATTGTTAACATTAATACTCCTACGCCTACCAATAGTCATATTCATATTGATATTAATGCCAATACTAACAGACACCTGCGTATACTAATGTCCGCAGATATACATACCACTATCTGAAAAGCAAACATGTCACTGCATTCGTGTACTAACGTAGTATATTCGTATTTAATTTGTCATATACCCAGTTTCCAACGTGACAATATACTACTTGTTAACGTCTGATTATACTGTATTGATATGCTAACTTGCTAAGACACGAATACTGTAATATGCAAGTACACTGACACATGGCAATGGTATACTAACATATGGATATACCAAAAAAGTTGTTAGATAATATACGAATATGATAAATGAAGTAGCATACCAGCATACTCATACACGTAATAGCGTACATGCATACGCATATTATATACTAAGAGCATACAAACATACAGGTATACAAACATATTACTGTTCGAATACATTATAATGTGTTGGTATACTAAGCTGTTTATATAATCTATCAGTATACTTCTCTATCAAAACTAATTATAGTATTGATACGCATACCAGCACGTCCGCGAATATTACACTGATGTTAAATTCATCATTAAGACTGATTAAAACTGACATCGACATTGGCACAGGCATTAACACTAACTATCACTAAATATGCTAGTGTACTAATATACGAATACTGTAAAAGGCAAGTACACTGACATGTTCACATGCCATGATGCCAACATATTGATATACCTATAAGCTATTAAGTAAAATACGAATATAGTAAATGTAGTCATAGACCACTATAATAATATACTAATATACTACTACGTTAACATACGAATATCATGATACACCAATATACTAATGTACTCATGCACCAACGTACTAATATATTCGCGCAATCTTCAACTATGCAAATATACTATTGTTCGAGTACATTACTGTATTATATTAAGCTCAAAATGTACGAATCAATCAGTATATTCACATATCAAAACTATTTCTAATACTGATACTAATACCAGCACTTCTGTGAATAATAAACAGATACTAAAACCAGCATTCAGACTGATACTAATACTAACACGAGTACTATTACTGACATTGACATCGACACTGGCACTAACACCAGCACGAACATAATCACGAGTTCCTATTTACTACTATTGATATATATATATATATATATATATATATATATACTTTTATTCAATACTAATACTAATACTGATGCTAATACTAATACTAAATACCAATACCAATACTAGTACTAAAGCAATACCCATCCTAATATCAATACTACCACAAAACTATTACTCATATGAACACTGATACCAGGATTAGGACTACTACAAACAATGACAGCAGTACTAAGAATAGAACCAAGAACAAGACATATTAATCCTAACACTAATACTAGTACTAATACTAGCTACTAATTCTAATACTCATACTCATACCAATACTAATGTCACCACTACTGCTGCTACTACTACTGCTACTACTACGACTACTACTACTACTACTACTACTACTACTACTACTACTAGTACACATACTTAATACTAAAACTAATACTGATACTCATACTAGTCACTAATACTAATACTAATACTCATACTAATACTAATACCAATACTAATGCTACCACTACTACTACTGTGCGACAACTATTGCTAGTACGACGACTACTACTATTAACATCAGTACACATACTTAATGCTAATACTAAGAGTAATACTAATTCGAATACTATTACTAATACTAAACATCCTAATATCAATACTACCACAAAACTAATACTAATGCTAACACTGATACAAGAATTAAGATCTACAAACAGCAATAGTGGTACGAAGAGCAGAATTGAGATTAAGATTGGGACTAGGAGCGCTGCATGCATGTGAAGAAATTTCCAAAAATTGCAAACCATCTAAAAGAACATTTTGGAATTGAGTTTGGGAGAAGTGTCTGTCGCCTATCCGTTGACAGATCCTGCCTGGGGACGCACGCCACCCTTCCCCTTCCCCACGACGGTCTGTCATGGGGGGGGGGGGTGAGCATATATATATATATATATATATATATATATACGTACTTTTTTGAATACGCGTATGTATGTACGTATGTATGTATGTATGCATGCCTGTGTACATGAACATATACGCGTGCGCACAGGGAATAAACCTACTACTGGTGCACCCTCTGGTCTCTCACACTCGGTCGCGCCAGGTGTGGCTCCAAGTCCACAAGTGAATCGAAGCTGGGTCCATCTTATAGCCACATTCGATTCCACTTGGACAGCATGCGACACAACTTGGAGCACAAGCTGTGTAAATTGATGTCTCAGCGATTCTAGCAAGAGCCCTACATTCACATGGACGGTCGTCGGCAGAATCACAACACTTTGTCGAACAACACCTGCACCCACAAAAGTACTGTTGGATGCCCTGGGGCAGCCAAGTGCTCTCGGCTGGCCCGCCTTCAAAAAGCCGCTGATCGAAAGCTTCATCTCGTGCAACCAGCCTTAGTACGAGAAGTGCGGAGACACAGGCGGTCGCAAACGCTTTCGGGTTCGAAGCTGCGACAGCCTTGGCGAACAGCTTTCCTAAGGGGAGGCCGGAAGCGAAGGGAACTCGAGACAGACAAGTTCTGCACAACAAACTGACGAGCCGTCGAGCTAACACGATGCCTCTGCACATACACTTGCAGATGCACACAGTATCACGGGCAAATGTAAACCTGCACATACATGCGTCAACTTGACAAACCATCAAAACCACGACATTACAGATGCATCTCTACTGTGCATATGGATCAAATTTCGATCAACGTCCATCAAGCGACACAAAACACAAGATCCACAGAAAGTCGACTATCGTGGAACCAATGACTGGTTGCTGTCTCTTTCAACAAGCGGTTCTTGTTGTGACAGGACGGTCGGAGCTGCCCTGGTTCTGAGAACAACAAATGCATGACACGTTCCAGCCGTTGTTTGCGTTGCAGTCCGATGTTTTGGACACCTTGAGTCTGAGTGACACTAGTATGCTCTTCCGGCATAGGCGCTCT